AACGGCTGTCCACTACAGGGGAGTCCAGCAATGTAGCCATTATGCCATCTGCTGGCCCCATGTTTTATTTAACTTTTTATGAAATTTATTTAATTATTTTAATTTGACCAGAGAGGGACAGAGTGAGGGAGAGAGAATAAGAGAGAGGGAGAGAAAGTGAGAAAGCAAGCCTCCAGGTCTGGGACTTGAACTACGGTCAGCCATGTGGGAGTCCAGCACCCTTAACCACTATGCCACCTGCCATCCCCAGGAATGGAATTTAATGGAATTCTTTCTTTTAAAAGAAGACTCTTTTAGGGGTCCAGCAGGTAGGTGGTGTGGTGGTTAGAGTGTTGGATACTCCCACATGGCCGACCACAGTTTGAGCCCCAGACCTGGTGGCTTGATTTCTCACTTTCCTTCTCTCTGTATATATCTGTCTTTCTCTACTCAAATTAAAAAAAAAAAAAAAAGTGAATGAATAAATAAAATTAAATGATTAAAAAAAAGACTCACTTAAGAGAAGAGCAAGGTCTGGGAACCAGCAGTTAGCGTAATGGCTATGTCGCTGGACTCCCACATAGTCGACCGCGGTTCGCGTCCTGGACCCGGTGGCCTTAAAACTCACGCCGGGCGCGTGTGCGTGCGTGCCCAAGATCCCGAGAGGAGAATGGAGGAGAAGGGATTGCGGCGTGACCATCCCCCCTGGGGGGTGATTTCTCGCTTTCTGTCTCTATGTCTCTCTCTGTCTGTCTGGCGAGCGCACGCGCCCTACAGTGAAAATCTCTCCAAAAAAAAAAGAAGAAGAGTGGGGTCCAGCAGGTGGCATGGTGGTTAAGGCACTGGACACTGCCACATGGCCACTCATGGTTCAAGTCCTGGACCTGGTGGCTTACTTTCTTACTTTCCCTCTCTCTGTGTCTCTCTGGTCAAATTAAAATAAATGAATGAAAAAATAAAATTAAATAAAATAAATGTTTTTTTAAAAAAGACCCAGAGAACTGCCTCATCCCTTCCACCCTAGGAGGGCAGTTATTGGTTCATCTGGAAAGTCATAATGTATTTTTCCATAGAAAAACAGAAAAATATGTCATGATTTTCCCTATAACCTAATAAAAAGTTGACATTGGGGGACCAGCTTAATGGCTATGTCGCTGGACTTCCATGTAGTCGACTGCGGCTCGAGTCCCGGACCCGGTACGTGTGCGTGCGTGCCCAAGATCCCAAGAGAATGGAGGAGAAGGGATTGTGGCGTGGCCATCCCCTCAGGGGGTGATTTCTCACTTTCTGTCTCTCTGTCATCCCGGCAAGCACATGCGCCCTATAGCAAAAACCTCTCCAAAAAAATCTCTTTAAAAAGGTGACATTTATGAACCAGAAAGTGGGCCCTCCCCAAACTCAAGTTTGCCAGAACCTTGATTTTGGCGTTCTAGCTTCCAGACTGTCAGAAGTAAATTTCTATTTTTTATGAACCACCCACTTTATGGTATTTTGTTAAATAGCATGCCAAGTAGACTGAGACGACTAGTGTAAGTGACACATATCAAAACTCATTATGTGCCTGGCTCTTTTTATGAATCTGAATCTTCTTATTTAATTCTCATAACTCTGTGAGGTAGATCATATTTGCTATCAATATTAACAAGTGAGTTGACAGACAAATTAAGTGACCCAGGTTTTATAGCTTCTAATAAGCTATGATTTGAACCCACTTCTGGCTCTAGAGTCTACTATGCTGACTTTCAGGAACTATCGGATGCCCAAGTGACTGGACATGTAAATACATACCTAAAGCGAATCATTCAAAATGTTTGAAAACATTTTGGGGATAAAATGGAAAAATGTGATTAAAAACTAGATGTTAGCATTATTTTTAAACTTTTGTTGGGTATGGTAATGGTGGTGTAGCTATGAAGAAAAATGTCCTTCCTTTTTAGACATATTTATCAAAATAGGGGCCGGCAGGTAGCATGGTGGTTAAAGGCACTGGATTCCCACATGACTGACCACAGTTTGAGTCCTGGACCTGGCAGTTTTCTCTCTTCCTCTCTCCTTCCCTCTCTGGTCAAATTAAAAAATAAGTAAATAAATAAATAAAGTTAAAAAGAGATATTTATCAAAGTATTTAGGATGAAATGTTATGATATCTGCTGCTTAAATTGCTTCCTCAAAATAAAATTGATGAAGGAGGCCAATACCAGATCCCACATGACTGACTGCACTTGGAATCCCAGCCCTGACATCTTGAAAAACATGCTAGACACATATGTGCCCCAAATCCCTATAGGTTGGAGAAATGGAGAAGGCATTACAGTGTGACCATTTCCCATTGGGGGTGGGGTGCCTTCTCCCTTCTCCCTACCCTCTCACTGTTTCTCTGTCTCTCTGATGAGAGCACACACCTCTAGCAATTAAAAAAAAAAAAAGGAAAAGTATCAAAGTAGATGAAGAAATGTTCATTAAACCATTTGCCCTACTTTTCTGTATTTTAAAAATGTTATAAGAAAAAGTAAAAAGATCATTAAAAGTGAGTTAGTTATTAGCATTATCAAGCAGTGTCCAGAGCAATGGTAGTACCCATATGTTTTTAAATAATTTGAGTTCAGGGCCAGCAGGTGGTGATGTAGTTAAGAGTGCTGGAATCCCACATGACCCACCATGGTTTAAGTCTCAAACCTGGTGGCTTGCTTTCTCACTTTCCCTCCCTCTCTCTCTTTCTCATTCTGTCCCTCTCTGGCCAAATTTTTACAATAAATAAATACATAAAGCTAAATAAAATAATTCTTTAAAAAATTTGGCTTGTTGGAGAACATAGATGACTCATTAATAAATTAGTATATTTGAATATTATCTTCTAAAGTGTTTGATGCACTTTAGTGCTTTAGATTAATATCCCTTTGTTTTTAGATTATATTGAAACTATTAATATCAGGCTAGATTCTTAGTCATAAACCAGGCTTTTATCATTTTTAAAGAATCTATCCCTCTTTAAAGAATTATTTAATTTTATTTATTATTATTATTTAATTTGCTATAGGGCACATATACTCACCAGTGCCTCTAACTGCCATGGCACCTGCTGACCTCTCTTCCCTCTTTATTCCAGGGTTTATCTGGAAAGATATGGTGACTTCTTTTTTTTAAATCATTGCAAATATATTTTTTATATTATATGCTTGGTCTAATGTGGTCATAATAGGTTTATTTCCTACCATTTATTCCAGTAATACCTGTGTGTGTATACACGTACCTATATGATTTTTCTGTTTAGAATCTTTTTTTTTAAGAGTTATTTTAATTTTATTTATTTTCCAGTTTGACCAGAGATAGACAGAGAGAGAGGGAGAGTGAGAAAGGAAGCCACCAGATCAAAGACTTGAACCGTGGTTGGCCATGTGGGAGTCCAGTGCCTTTAACCACCATGTCACCTGCTGGTCCCTCTATTTAGAATCTTATCTATCCTTTACATTGTAGAGACAAATAGCATTTCTTCCACTTTGCAGGTCGAGAAGCTAGGTCCCATTTATACTAAGAGGGTTTTCAGTGATTACAGTTAATTAAAGTAGAACCAAACCTAAAATAAGAGTTGTTGCTTTCTGGCTCATTAGTCTCACACTATAGAAAATGCAGGTATAGGGACCAGGAGTTGGCATAATGGCTATGCTGCTGGACTCCCATGTAGTCGACTGTGGTTCAGGTCCCGGACCTGGTGGCCTAAACTCATACCAGGCGCATGTGTATGCATGCTCAAGAGGAGAATGGAGGAGAAGGGATTGCAGCGTGGCCATCCCCCCAGGGGACAATTTCTCACTTTCTGTCTGTCTGTCTGTCTGTCTGTCTCTCTCTCTGTCTGTCTGGTGAGCGCATGCACCCTATAGCAAAAACCTCTCCAAAAAAACAAAGAAAATGCAGGTATGAATACAGTCTCTTCTTGCGTCCATCTGAACAGGCTTCTGATGGAAGCAGCTCAAGGGAAGACCTCTCATCCCAACTTCTGAGAAGGAACGAACAGATACGGAAGTTGGAGGCCAGACTTTCAGGTATGTCTAAGAACTCATAAAAAGCAAACAAGATATATGGCTTGCCTCATCCTCTCTCCCTATGGTATAGCTGTATAAGATAGTTAGTAGTTATTTTGATATGCCATTTTGACCTAACAGGTCAGAAAGGAGCAATTTGTTATTTCCTTTGTTTCCTTCATTTTTAAATACTCAACAGTAAAAATTCAAAACCTAATTTGAAAGTTAATTTAAAAGAAAAGACTTATGTTTTATGCTCCTGTGGTTTCTAGCCATGGATATAAAAGGTATTAGCACAAGTATATATAGAATAGGTGTGCCCACCTACCATTAGCATGGTATTCCTACAAGTGGAGACAGGAAGAGGTTAGGAAATGGCCAACAGTTAGCACCAGAGAAGACTTGGTGCTACGTTGCCACATGCTGCAGCTCCTAGCACCTGTGTGAGTGTTGTTCTGAGTCTTTGGGGCCTCTTTTCAGTGGTGTTTCTAACAGCACATATAGAGAGCTCTAACTCCCTTCACATCTTTTGTGTGCAGTTTATAATTCACACAGCTCCCATTGTCCTTTGCCTGAGCAAGGCATGTTCATAATAGAATTATGAGTTCTTATTTTGGTTTCTGCCAATGGATACATTTTGAAAGTTTCATCCTGTGAAATGGTCCATAGCTTCTGTGTCTTTTTGTCCCTTTCTCTTATGCCCATCTTATTTGAGTGAAAACAGTAGACCAAAATTTACCAAATTGTATGCAAAATATTTGTATTTGTATAGCTGTTGAAGGTTCATAATGTAGCTCAGAGCTCCCAGTTAATTATTTTTGTCCTCACTGTAGCCTTATTGTGCTTAGCAAGGTTAAGGTCTCTCAAGTAGTAAGCTACAGGGCTAAGATCCAAACCTAGATTCTCTAGAAGCTAGAGGCCGTACTCGTAATTATAGTCTGCTTTAAACTGAGTTGTTACTATCTTGTTACTCCTACCAGAAAATGATATCTGTAACGGAGGTGAGATAACCCTATGTTTTTTTTAATGTTGGGAAGACAGTTATAAAATCATATGTACTTT